GAGCCTACCTTCAAATAGTTTCAAGAAATGCGGTTTCAACATTGAAAATATTTGTGATAACTTTAAAATATATTTTCATCTTTATTTTTAAAGTTTAGCTTAAAAAATAGTGTAGATTGACATATCTATGAAAATATTGAAAATTGACTGTCCAAAAATGTATGACAAAATATACTACTTTCAAAACTTGAAATTCATTTTTTTCTCATGTCCATGCATCTTGATATCGATACGATCAATTTGAAGATATTTGGACGTCAAAACAATCTCTTCGTGTGAAATTTTTGAGGTAGGCTCTAATTTGATTGTTTAGAGCCTCGGCTCTATATAAACTTTTCCCCTCAAGAATTAAATAAGTTTGTCATTTCTAAAATGTTAGGGCCATTTGTGTCATTTTTCTTGCCACAGGGCGCTCCTCTCCTCTATATAATGCTCCACAACGCTCTCTCTCTCGTTCAACTTAGGGTTTTCATTTTTAGGGCGTAATATTTGCAACTTCATCAGCAACGGCCTACAATGGGGAGAAGTAAGTGCCATTTCATTTCCATCTTGTTTAAATGTTATTTCTACGCGATCTTTATTCATATATTTCCATGATTTAGTCATATTTTGTCAAATAATTTCATTGGGTTATTGGATGTGGCTGTTCGTTAATTCCCGGTTTTTTCCTGATTAGGAGCAATTTATTTGCCATTTTCAACTCAATAAGTCTTTATATCTTTTTCTTATTACTTTTCATATAATCGATGTAAAATTCAGAAAATTATGAGAAGATTTGCTATTGGATCTGGATTTATTGCTTGATGAATCATTTTATCTTTTTTCTAGTAGACTATATTTTTTATGTTTATTTTGCGACTTAGGGTTTACTATATTCGCGCCTCCACTCTCCTAATTCAAGACATTAGGGTTTCCATAGAGGATTAGCGTGTGATTTTTCTGTATAATATTAACAAAATTGGCTTGGTATGGATTTGGAAATCACTAGTCTATGACGTTTCACATGACTCAAGTTCCTTATTTCGGTTGTCTCTCATGCAAGATTAGGGCATGTTTGGTTTGTGTGACAATATGTGAAAAAATTACCTCATGTGGTTATGTGTGGGAATATTTTTCACCAATTAGCTGTCGTGAAAAGATGTATTGGGACAAATTGGTGTGAAAGTATTCCTACACCTAACCACTGTTTTAGGTGAAAATATTGCGAAACAAATGTGACTGTCTCATTTTCTAATGGCTTGTAATGCTACTGGCATTGATTTCTTCTTCATATGTGATTATTGACTTGATATATGCTTGTGAATCATGAATGAGTTTTGAATCATTATTTTTCTTTTTTTATGCTAAGTATTACCCTTTCATGATTTAAGGTTTTCTATTCTTCTATTAGCATCATGCATATCTTTTTCATAATTATAAATGGTTTATTTTCTGTATGATATCCAGTATTACATGGACACCAACACGAATATCAGTCTTAATAAAGTGTCTTAGATGTCTAGGAGGTTGGTCTAACAACCACACAATCATTTTGGATGAATGAAATCTTTACTAATAATGTAATATAATTTTATTTTCTAAATCACTTCAAATGTGAAGTTGTCGGGAAGGTTATGTGGAGCATTCTTTAATGTTATTAATATTTGCAAGTGTCAATACATGTCAAAGGGTCTACATCTGACGCCGGACGTAGACTGGAGTCTCAAGGTGACACCAGTAAAATTCAATACCATATTGCTAAACTATTGGGACTTGTTATAAAGGAAGTATGAATTTGTACAACTCTGGGCTCGTTCCTTTGATACAATAAAAGCTTATGATTCATTTGACTCATGAATCTCTCTCTCTCTCTCTCACNGTCAAGTCATCATNNCTCTACTACTACTATCTGTACTATCTCTCTACACGTACGTACTCTCTCTCTACTTCTACTACTCTACTACTCTACTACT